CAGTACTGTGTGTATGGTTACCTTTACACTTCGTGTCACAAATGTAACAGACTTGATGTAGTCTCTCGTATACCTGAATAGACATTTCTTCAGCATGGTCAAGAGCACTGAAGTTCACTTTTATCGTTTGCTAACTACACTATTCCTGTGTAGTGTAAACAGGTCTCAGTGTAACCAATCTGTAACTGGCTGACTTAGAACAATTATATTCTGCTATGCTAGAGAAAGTAGGGTTTACTTACAGTAGCTAAATCAATAACATTTCTAAATCACCATAGATATATAATGCTAATTTAATTAACTTTTAAAAGGGATCACAAAGTATTTATCCTTTAGTTAATATACGATTATTTTGTAATCCTCAGAGAGACATTTGCTGTTATCGATTTGACAAAGTCATTGTTTATCTTCCAATAACAATCTTGTAATTTGGTCAGTCACGTGAAACAAAATAACGTCGTTAGTGGATAGCATCAGGATATGGTAAACAAAAAAACTGAATCTTCTCTGAAAAATTAAACACGACTCTGAGCTCGTAGATCATCTTGTTTTTAGTTGATCTAATTTCAAAAGATTGATTATTGAACAAAGAATATTCTTTTCGATAGAGAAAGAAAGACCAGATTTGCAGTATAAAATGATATCATTCTATTTCACAGGTTCTCATCAGCTGCAAACTACCTGAAATTACAATGGTTATAAATAATAACATTTCATACTTCATTGTTTGAAAGGTAATAGAGAAAGCACTATAAGATGAACGCATCCGGAATATAAGGATTAAAATTTTATAGTTTAAGTTACCATCAATTTATATACTATCAAACTATGGAAAAAAGAAAGAAAAAGGGGGGGAGTGAGAGAAGACAGAAAACAGAAAAATCTAATAAATAGTGTCAACATGGCAACTCAACAAGGTCAAAGTTCATCAATTTCAAACTTGCTTAGTGAGTTGACCTCACTAGTGTCTATGAGTAATCAGTGTAATGAAAGTGATATGGTTACCAAGGGAGTGAGAGATTGACTATACTCTCTTTCTGTGTGCATAAGTTTGGTCTGAGACGTTTGATTGCAATTCCTTCAGCAAATCGTAGTAGATTCGCTGTCCTTTGTATGTTTAATATTTTGAAGGATTTGGAAATCTCGACAAAATGGCCCGTATCCACAAGGTGTCTGGTAATTGCACTTTGTAAATATTTGCTTCCTTTAAAGGATAAGTTTCTCGGAATATGCTCTGAAAACCGGATAAAAGCCCTTTTATAAATGTACGTGCACCTGCAGCAGCAAGTACATTGGAAGGACAGAAAGAAGGGCTTCTATCCGGTTTTCAGAGCATATTCCGAGAAACTTATCCTTTAAAGGAAGCAAATATTTACAAAGTGCAATTACCAGACACCTTGTGGATACGGGCCATTTTGTCGAGATTTCCAAATCCTTCAAAATATTAAACATACAAAGGACAGCGAATCTACTACGATTTGCTGAAGGAATTGCAATCAAACGTCTCAGACCAAACTTATGCACACAGAAAGAGAGTATAGTCAATCTCTCACTCCCTTGGTAACCATATCACTTTCATTACACTGATTACTCATAGACACTAGTGAGGTCAACTCACTAAGCAAGTTTGAAATTGATGAACTTTGACCTTGTTGAGTTGCCATGTTGACACTATTTATTAGATTTTTCTGTTTTCTGTCTTCTCTCACTCCCCCCCTTTTTCTTTCTTTTTTCCATAGTTTGATAGTATATAAATTGATGGTAACTTAAACTATAAAATTGTAATCCTTATATTCCGGATGCGTTCATCTTATAGTGCTTTCTCTATTACCTTTCAAACAATGAAGTATGAAATGTTATTATTTATAACCATTGTAATTTCAGGTAGTTTGCAGCTGATGAGAACCTGTGAAATAGAATGATATCATTTTATACTGCAAATCTGGTCTTTCTTTCTCTATCGAAATTTATCAAGGGAACCAAATGTATGAAATATTTTCTTTTAAATAACTTCGTCATCAGGATCTACAGTTATAAATTCATTTTAATGGCAGAATGATCGTTACTGTAAACATTAGTGCTTTTTAAAAAGAGTAACATTGAATCATTTAGATCAGAATTCAAAAAGTTATTTGCAATTAGATTGTTAGTATATTGTAGTCCAAAATATATGTGTGTATATGGTAATATAATATAAAACTGTAATACTAAATCGAACGTTAATATTACAAAGTAAATGATCATGAATGACAACGAATGTACAGGAGTCATGTTCATATCAGATCCCATTCATATTGATTATAAACTTCAGATGGATGAGTGATCATGTCAAGGACGGTGGTAGAGAAAAAGGGGTTTTGGGGTTGAAATTTATGTGCGTTGTATGTGTGTCAGTGTGTAAGTTAACAACTACGTTTAAATAAGAAAACAAAAGGTTAGTTAATGCAAGTGTAATGACAAGGGGTAGGAGAATTTATGTGTACAGAGTAGAGGGCCATTACAAAAGGTCCAATGTAATAAGGTATTTATGAATTCGCAAACTCCGCAGCAGGCCAGGGCGGTCACAATGGTTGGACCTGTTTCTTCTGAACAGAGAGAACCGGTTGTCTCAGGTGAATGGCAATAATGTCTGCTGTTTGGATTATGCGGTACCCGGATGATTTTGGTAACCGATAGATGATGGAGAAAAACTCTTCAGTATTATCTTTGTGGCTAGTTAGACCCAAGTGTTCTAATATGGAGCTATTGATGCTTCTGACTACACCTTTATTTAACCACACAGGTAGATGTTCTCGATTAATTGACTATCTAGTGCGTCGGTGGCACAGCAGTAGAATGCTCGACAACTACGCATGTAGTCCGGGGTTCGATCCCTAGCCAACACACTCCTTTACCTTGCTAAGTCAGTAATAAGACTGGTGAGGAGGGAAGTTTGGGAGTGAGGCTTGCAACCCCATCTCGTAAAAATAAATAACACTGCGACCTAAACTTTAAGCCTCTATCTTGAAACTATATGTTCCACTGAGAAAGTGAAGGAATAAAATAATAATAATTGATTATCTTAAAGTATTTCTGTATACAATGCTGAAAACTAAAACCTGGTTCAAAGTGTTTCTAAGGTGTATTTTGTTTTGTTGAGAAAATTGGAAAATACTGACAGTGTGCAGCCAAAGGCACCCAGTAGAAGTAAAAGCATCGATGCCACTGGAAAGGGCAATCTCGCTAAACCCCTAATCCTAATCTAATAATTTTAACGATAGCCTTATTCCAAACAGTACTTCTGATTACAAATGCGGCGTTTTTAGTAATGTATAAAGTATTGTGTCTAAACTTCTCACCACCTAATACAAATGTAATAATTAAACAAGATATTTACATCTATAATAATGTTAAATAAGAATATGAATACAAAATCAAATAAGGTGGAAACAATTACATTAATAAATACATATTAATGACTGAAAGAACCTCGCCTAGATTACTAGGTCACTAGTATTCTAGCCGGTCCCAAGCCCGGATAAAGAGGGAGGGTTGGGGCGTGGTGCTAGCAACTCCACCCCCAAAACTTAACCAAATTGCTACTAAAACTTCAACGCACAAATATATTCAAAATTCTAAAATTACAAATAGTGACCTTATTTTTCGCTGGAATCGGGGAAGTGAAATGACGCGGGCTGGTGAAAGCCTTCGGGAAGCCAGTCAGCCGATGTGCCTTCTTTCGATGAAAGCGAAAATAAGGATGGGGACGTGGAATGTTCGTACAATGTACGAAGCTGGGAAGGCTGCTCAGGTAGCCGCAGAAATGAGGAGATATAGAATAGAAGTGTTGGGAATCTGCGAGAGCAGATGGAACGGATGTGGAAGGAGCCAACTATCAACTGGAGAGACAATAATCTACTCCGGTCACCCAGAGGACAATCACGAGCACACCGAGGGAGTAGCCATCATGATGTCACCAACAGCGGCTAAAGCTCTCATGCAGTGGGAACCAATCTCCTCCAGGATAATGACAGCCAGGTTCAACTCAAAAGGAAAGAAGGTTACAATCATTCAGTGCTACGCGCCTACAAACGCCTCAGAACATGAGAAGAAGGAGGATTTCTACAGTCAACTACAAACAGTAATGGACAACGTCCCAAAGAACGATATCAAAATCCTGATGGGCGACATGAATGCGAAACTGGGAGGAGACAATACAGGAAGAGAACTCACCATGGGTCGTGAGGCCCTCGGTGAAATGAACGAAAATGGTGAACTCTTCTCAGACTTCTGCGCCTTCAATGATTTGGTGATTGGTGGCAGTGTGTTCAAACACAGGGATATACACAAGGCAACATGGATTTCACCAGATGGACACACCAAAAACCAGATAGACTTCATTTCAATCTCAAGGAAGTGGAGACGGAGCCTACTGGACACAAGATCGAGGAGAGGAGCAGATGTGGGTTCAGACCACTATCTAGTACAAGGGACACTCAAGGTGAAGCTGAAAGCCTCGAGGATACCTGGGGATAGGCCACAATGCAAGTTCAACACGCAAAAACTGAAGGACACAATCACAAAGGACACTTTCACTGCAACTGTGAGAGCAAAGCAGGAAACACTACGTGGCACCACTGAGGAATCATCCGTGGAAGACCATTGGAGCTCTCTGAAGGTAATTTTCAACGAAACGTGCTCAACGGTTTTAGGAAGAAAGAAGAAACAAGACAAGGAATGGCTCTCAACAGACACTTGGAAACTAATAGAGGAGAGGAGAAAAGTGAAAGAGAAAATGATTCAATGCAAACATGGACAAGAGAAAGAGACGCTGAACTCAACTTACACAGCACTGGACAAAGAAGTGAAGAAGAGTGCCAGGAAGGACAAAAGACAATTCCACGACAACCTGGCTACTGAAGCTGAGAAGGCAGCAGGCAAAAGGGACCTGAGGACACTATATCAGATGACCAAGTCTCTATCCGGGAAGAGATCAACACAAGTGAAACCTATGAAAGACAACCAAGGGAACCCAATTACCAAAGAAGAAAGACAGATTAAACAATGGGCGGACCACTTCAAAGGACTCTTGAACCGACCACCACCTACAACCCGTCCAGTAATACCAACAACAGCACGTACACAACTGCAAGTTGACACCAATCCTCCAACGAAAACTGAAGTCATGAATGCAATCAAGCTTCTGAAAGCTGGAAAAGCAGCTGGACCAGATGGAATACCCCCGGAAGCACTGAAAGCGGACCCAGAGACGACAGCAGATATGCTGACCCCATTATTGCAAAAGATCTGGAAAGAGGGAAAGGTGCCTACTGACTGGAGGAAAGGTTACCTGGTGAAACTACCAAAGAAGGGCGACCTGGGACTCTGCAAGAACTGGCGAGGAATCATGCTCCTGTCGACGCCAAGTAAAATCCTGAGTCGCATCATCCTGGAGAGAATCAAGGACGCGCTGGATACAGAACTCCGACCAGAACAAGCTGGATTCAGGAAAGGCAAATCATGTTCTGACCAAATTGCAACTCTACGCATTATCATCGAACAAAGCATGGAATGGCAATCAAATCTCTACCTCAACTTCATAGACTTTGAGAAGGCCTTCGACAGCGTTGACCGCGAAGTAATTTGGAAACTACTCGAGTACTACGGCGTACCGCAAATATTCATCAACCTTATTCAACAACTGTACGACAACGGCACATGTCAAGTGATCCACAACGGAAAACTCAGCGAAGCGTTTGGAGTAAACACAGGAGTCAGACAAGGGTGCTTATTATCACCAATGATATTCCTAATTGTGGTGGACTGGATTATGCGTCAGACAGTGGGAAACGAGAAGACAGGGATATCCTGGACCGACGTGAAGAACCTAGAAGACCTGGATTTCGCGCGTGGATGATTTCTGTTTGATGTCACACAAAATCGAAGACTTACAAGCAAAAACCGACAAACTGGTCGAAGAAGCAGCAAAGACAGGACTCCAGGTGAACATAGACAAGACGGAGGTTATGAAAATAACCAACCAACAACAGCAGCAACATCCAGTGCCAATCACCATCAACGGGAGGGATTTGAAAGAGGTTACTTCTTTCACTTATCTGGGGAGCATTGTCTCAACCACAGGAGGAACGGACGAGGATGTCAAATCGAGAATCGGGAAGGCGAGAAACACATTCATCAACCTGAAACCAATCTGGAAATCTTCGTCACTCAGTATCAACAACAAAATTCGGATTTTCAATACAAACGTGAAGTCAGTTTAGCTATACGGATCAGAAACTTGGCGGGTCACCAAGAATATTTTCAACAGGTTGCAGACCTTTATCAACAACTGTCTTCGCTCCATACTGAAGATTAGATGGCCAGAAAGAATCACAAACAAGAAGCTATGGGAACAAACGAAACAGCAACCAATCGCCCAACAAATATGCAGGAGGAAGTGGAGATGGATTGGACACTCGCTGAGGAGGCCGTTGAGTGACATCGCGCGTCAAGCCCTCGAGTGGAACCCGAAAGGGAAGCGGCGAGTGGGACGTCCAAGGGTGACATGGAGGAGATCGTGTGAGGAGGAGATGAAACAGTATGGAATAACATGGACGCAAGTGAAAAGAACAGCAGAAGACAGAAGCAAGTGGAGACGTGCAGTTGAAGCCCTATGTTCCACTAGGAACCCAAGGGAACAATAAATAAAATAATAATATAATGACTGAAAGAATAAGTGTTTCCCAGTAAATATATAATGTCATACTTTGCACTTTTATATTGACACAAAATGTTTGTCAAATGAGATAATGCAGAGTTTTTACACTTAGTTGTCTGAGCATAAAGTCACCTATAGCTGCTTCTCGTTCTACCCGATGAGATAGATGCAAGGAGAGAGTTGTGTATACCCTCAGGCTCTGATCAGATAATATTCACTCATTTCTTTCATGAGTCCGTGTGCCTACCTATGGCAGCATAAACAGGTTCGTTTAGCAATGCCCTTCTTAAGTAACCCAGGAAAGATTAAGAGGGAACAGTAAACGAGAACAGCTAGAATGCAAGAATTAACAAAGCGTAAAAGTAGAGACTGAGTGATACCAGACTGTCTTAACTTCAATGAACGAAATATTCCCATACTGAGTCATAAGAAAAAGGCGTAATATTATTATTACTACTATAATTTTGTTACCATTATTATTCCCATCATCCACATTTCATGATCACTCTAATACTGTTTATTAATGACATTGCGTTTTCATACAGATTTTATATAAAACACTTTCCATATTAGGTGGTTTATTAGACATATCACACAGTCATTGAAACAGTATTATCATCCCGTAAATAATACTGTTTCACTGTGTGATACATCTAATAAACAAACTAATATGGAATTACTTACTACCACAGTGCCCAAGTTTTACACATATATGACTTATGGTCTTCCTGTACGAAGACTTATCAATAAACTCACTCGACTTTCACAAACTGAAGCAAGATATGAAAAAAATGAAATCATTCTCAAAGATCTACGTCTACGAGCTCCAGTTCCAACGGACAGAGTTAGAAGCAGAATAGAAAGAGATCCCTTGAATCGTTAAAAAATTGCAACATATCAGATGTGAAATTGAGCAATTAAAACAAAAGCTAAAAGGAATAGTTACCAATGTAGATTATGATATTCTAACACAGTCCTCCAGCAATGCAAAATCAGTAACTTTCAAAAAGTCAGAAAATAATCAAATCAAAAAGTTCAACAAATTATTAGAGGAGAAATCTTCATCTCAGAACGATGAAATCAGCAATCTAAAGACAACGCCGATCGACAAAACAAAGCGGGTTATCAATCTCTCAACACATATATTAAGTCCTACGGAAATAAGTGTATTAGAAAAGAGACTAAATTTCAATGTGGTGGTAGGCAAGCGGAAACCTGAGGATGTCATCCCTAAAATAGAAATAGCACCAAGTGGGATAGACAAAACAACGACTGACGAAGTACGGGCACAATGTGCACAACAAAAAAGAGGGAAGCCTAACCTGACAAAACAAGAGATAGAAGCCCTGAAACACCTTAAGAATAACGAAGATATAATAATCACCAAAATCAGGTAAAGGAAATGCAACAGTAGTATTAGACAAATCAGATTATTTGGACAAAGTAAATACTCACATACAAACAGGACCACATGAGGAAATTATTAAAGCAATAGACACCGTTATGAATAAGGTTAAAAAATCCACAGTGGACCTTATACGCCGAATGAAGCCGTTTCTAGGTGAGTCTACATGGTTTGATTTGTTGCTAAAAGCAAGTAAACCCAGTAGGATGTATGGTGTTGTTAAAGTTCATAAGTGAGGATATACTATTGTAACAACAGAAGACAAGGGCCAGGCAGCAGACCGTGTATTAAGGAAAATCAACACATATTTATAGTTTTTAATGTACATCATTGCAGATTATTGTCAGTAGAAAACACAATCTGTTGACTGGTTGTTTCTCACAGAAAGTTAACCTTGCATCTCTTTGTGGCTGTGTCAGATCATCCATATGCTAACTGTATCTGCCTACGCAATGCCTTTGTTCTCATTTTCTCACCACCAATATTGGGGACATAAACATTGACGTCAATTACTGTCCACCAGTTTTGGCTAGCAGTCAGCTCTCACCACACTATTAGACCTATAGTTGATTTTAGAAATTCACCTACTCATGAATTATCTAAATATTTAGCCATGGTATTAAATCCCCTAAAAATCCACTCGAAATCTAGACTAACTAATTCTTATGAACTAAAACATAGATTAGATAATTTAAAGTTAGATAATGAAGAAAAGATGGTTAGTTTTGACATTGTCAGTTCATACACACGTATACCAATATATATGGCTATAGAGGCAGTCAGAAACGAACTCATTTCTGACCAAGACCTCGAACTTAGGACAAAAGTGCCACTTGAGGACATAATGCTGGGAGTACAGCTATGCCTGACTTCCACAGTATTTAAATTCCAAGGGAAAATATACAAACAAACTGAGGGAGTTGCCATGGGATCACCAATATCCCCAGTGGTAGCAGATATATTCATGGATAAGTGGGAAAGCATAGCGATTAAAACGTTCACCCCCACCCCAAAAGTATGGTGGAGGTACGTAGACGACACATTCACTGTACTTAGAACACAAGATATAGATAGGTTTTTCGAACATATCAACTCGAAGGTTGAAGCAATTCAATTCACTTATGAATTGGAAAATCAAGAAGGGGAGCTCCCAATGTTAGATTGTAAGGTAAAGAGGAAAGAAGATGGGATGTTAAACACTAGTGTGTACAGGAAACCCACACACTCCAACAGATATTTGGACTTCCGATCATCCCATCCTATGTCAGTAAAAATAGGATTGGTGAAATGTTTAAATGACAGAGCACAAAAATTAAGTAGTACCAAAGAAAATCTAAAACAGGAACTAACACACATAAAAGAAGCCTTGAAACTTAATAATTACCCGGATAAATTAGTCAGGAAATATGTAAAGAAAAGTAAAAATAAAATAAATAATGATAGTAGCGATAGTGATAATAACAATAATAATGATAATGATAATAGTGATAATAATAATAATATTAATGACGACACCAACAATAAAGAATCTAAATCATCAGTAGTAATTCCATACAAGGAAGGAACCTCGGAAGCCTTACGCAGAATTCTTAACAAGGCAGGAATAAAAACGGCATTCAAACCCACAAACTCAATTAGAAACAAGCTTTGTCGGTTAAAGGATCCTGTAGAACCTTTAAAACAAAACAATTTAGTTTATCTAATACCCCGCCTGCAATGATTGCCAGGTCAAATACGTAGGTAAAACTAGTAGAACAGGGGCAGTCAGACTGACATCATCAGAACGAGGCGCATGCAAATAAAACACAGCCTTCTTCAAACCTTGAACACAAACATTAGGTCGCGTACTATCCCATCGCCCTTGGCAGTCAGACTAACCGAGCATAAAAACCTAGCAAACTCTAGATTAGTTGACCCAAATAAGATAAGAAATCTACAGAATAGTTCAGCTATAGCACTACATGCAATTACACACAACCATACAATAGGATGGATGGGATAGGATGGCAGTTTTAAAATCTAATGTCACAGGGTGGAGGGAGAGATTGATAACAGAAGCTTTGTTTATTGAATCAACTGCAAATACGAGTAATAGAAATGATTCAACATCTGTTCATCTGGACATCTGGAAAATTATACTGCCCATTCGAGGAACGGGAAGAAATAAAGAAAACTATAAAACTCAAGTTTCGAAGTCGTGTGATTATAATTCATATGATTATAAACAATAAATTTTGTTCGAAACGTCATCCAGTAAATAATACTGTTTCACTGTGTGATATACCTAATAAACAAACTAATATGGAATTGCTTACTACCACAGTGCCCAAGTTTTACACATATATTAATAAAAACACCCTATTTTCTTTCCACTAGTTCCTGTCCATTCTACACGAGCTTATTGATTGGTCATTATCTCACACTTATTAGGTCATGCCAACTTCTGCCTCTTTTCTAACTTACAATTAGTTATCCTATCTAGGTAACACTTCGCATTACATAATACATTTTCCGAGGAAAACGTTTACCAGTATCTTTGTCAAATGTAATTACGATTGTACAGCTTATGAAAATGAATCGTCGAATAAAAAATGTTTTCTCTGTTTACGCCTTTTTCTTATGTCGTAACTTCCTTAAGTAGAATGTTGGCCAAAATAACTTTTCAAGAAATTAATATGATGTAGGAAGACCGGAAAAGATCAGTGGAAATACATGGTCCACGGTATTTAACATTCGGTTTAGTTTCAACTTCTCTGCCATCTATGACGGCAGAGTAGTCCAAACAAACCAGTTCATGCAAGTCACGCTT